GCTTTCATTTCACTTTTCTCTAGTAACATCACTCACCAAAGGGTGTTGCCTGGGGCTGAGAAAGTAATACCAGTTTTCTCAGAGTATACAAAAAACTTCTTTGGCTTCTAGCATCCATTGCAGCTGCCACCACATTCAATATTACACTTCTTCCTTTAACTTTTCTAATTCCTGTCTGTGCCTAGCCAGGGGGATGATTGGGTCATGTGCAGTTACACAGACTGCCTTGCCGATGAAGTCAGTACTTCCCAGCCTCACACTTTTGAACTTGTGCATTCACAGACAACGGCCTCAGGTGGAGCTTCCCTTTGAGGAAAGTGAGCGGAGAGCTCTGCTTCTGAAGAGGTGGTCCCTATACAAGCAGCAAGAGCATCAGATGGAGAGGGATGCCATCAGAGCTATGCTAGAGGCCCAGCAAGAAGCTCTACAGGAATTGAAACTTGAGTCCCTAGAGCTCTACACTGAGGCCATCAAGCGAAACCTCAGCCTGTTCCCCTTTGAGAGGGAAGGGCCGAATTACACACCACCAATCTCTAACTACCAGCCCCCTGAAGGCAGGTACAATGACATCACCAAGATATACACACAGGTAGAATTCAAGAGATAAAGCTCAACACAGCTGTTCTTAAACCAATCTGCCTCTAGGAGTATGAGGGCTGATAGCTCTTTTCCACAAGATTGAACATGCTGGTAATAAATAAAAATTTAATCAAAAGCCTCTGTCAAAATTAATTCATCTGATGGATGGGAGTGAGAGATACTGCTATGCCAGGTACTGGAAAGAAGATGACAAAGACATCAACCTCTACCTTCCAGTAGGAAAAAAATATGAGTAAAAAGGAAGATTCCAACTGGGCATAGTGACTCAGGCCTTTAATCCCAGGGACTTTAATCCCGATACTAGAGGGCAAAAAAAAAAAAAGACAATTTTATAGTCAAAATACCACTTGCAGAAGCACAAAGTAACCCAGAGGTGTGGAGGTGAAGGATATATAGGATTTTGTTAACTGGAAAAGTACACCAGATGTAGGATCTTCACAGTAGGACAGACAGGAGAGCCAACTTTTGAGTTTTTTTTATTTTGGGGGTGGGGGTAGGTGTGTACTGGTTTGCACTCTATTATGGAGCCATATCTCCAGCCTTTTTTTTTTTTTTTTTTTTAATTTAGAGACAGGATCTAAGTTGCACTGGTAGCCTTGAACTTGCTGACCTGCCTCAGCCTCCCAAATTCTGAAGATTTCAGATGTGTACCACTGTGCCCAGCCACCTTTAGGGTTTTAAGTTGGGGAGCGAAGCTGTAGAAGGTAGAGCAAACCAGGGACACCTTAGTTAAAGCTGCTCTGTCCTTCAAGAGATGTGAGGCCATGACACATTAGCTAAAGCTCCTGTGCCCTATAAAAATATGTGAGGCTAGCTGAAGCCAAGGGCTCACAGCATTATTATTCACTATTACTGATCTGGAATGGTGAATAAGTTAAGTTAGCTTGGACTGCCATAATAAAATACCACAAACTGGGTGGCTTAAACAGCAAATGCTTATTTTCTCAACCGTTCTAGAACCTAGAAATCCTAAGATCATATAAGTAGAATCATAAGTGTTAGTCTTTTGTGACTGATTTACTTCACTAAGCATAATGTCCTAGAGGTTCATCTGTGTTGTAGCATGCGTCAAAATTTGTTTTTTCGTTCTTTTTAAGACTGAATTAATATTCCATTTTATGGATGTACCAAATTTTGATCATCCATTCTTCTGTTGATCAACCCTTGGGTTGCTTTCACATTTGATTTTTAAAAATTTATTTGTGGAACTACGGATTGATCACAAGGGTGCTTTACCACTGAGCTACATCCCCAGTCCTTTTTTATTTTATTTTTTGGTACCAGGAACTGAACCCAGGGGCACTTAACCACTGAGCCATATCCCCAGCCCCTTTTTATATTTTATTAGAGATAGGGACTCACTGAGTTGCTTAGGGCCTCACTAAGTTGCTGAGGCTAGTTTTGAACTCACCATCCTCCTGCCTCAGCTCCTAAACTGCTGGGATTACAGGCATGCTACATTACTCCCAACTCTTTTTATTTCTGGAGACACTCTCCCTAAGTTGCTGAGGCTGGCCTCAAACTTGCATTCCTCCTGTATCAGCTTCCTGCATCACTAGGATTACCAGAGTGCACCACTGTGTTTGACAGCTTCCATATTTTAGCTATAAAGAATAATGCTGCTATGCTATCTCTTTTGAGATTCAGCTTTCAAGTCTTATGGGTGTATACCCAGAAGTGGAACCACTGGACTCTTTGATAATTCTATGTCTAATATTTTTTTTTAAATTTTTTTTATGACCTTTATCTTTAATACAATTTATTTAATTGTAAGTTTATATAATTTAACTTTTTTTTTTAATTTTTTATTGTTGGCTGTTCAAAACATTACATAGTTCTTGATATATCATATTTCACAATTTGATTCAAGAGGGTTATGAGCTCCCATTTTTACCCCATATACAGATTGCAGAATCACATCAGTTACACATCCATTGATTTACATATTGCCATACTAGTGTCTGTTGTATTCTGCTGCCTTTCCTATCCTCTACTATCCCCCTATGTCTAATATTTTGTGGAAACCCATACTGCTTTCCTTTGAGGCTGAGCAATTGTACATTCCCTCCACACAGTGCGCCAGAGCTCACTGACACTTAATTGTTTTTTGTTTTTAACAGTAGCCATCCTACATTTCTTAATGAATAATGGCGTTGAACATCTTTTCAGGTGTTTATTTTCCATTTGTACATTTTCTTTGGAGAGACATCCGTTCAAGTCCTTTGTCCATTTTTGAATTATTTTTCACATTCAGCTTTATATATTCGATTAATTCCTTATCAAATATATGATTTGTAACTATTTTCTCCCATTCTGTGTGTTGCCTTTTTTGTGATTTTTTTTTTTTTAAGGGGGGAGAATCCTTGCACTCGCTAGGCAAGCACTGAACTACATAGCTCCCTCCAGCCTTTTTATGGGTGCCAGGGTTTGAATTGAGGGTGCTTAACTACTGACCCACATCCCCAACTCTATTTTGTATTTTATTGAGACACAGGATCTCACAGAGTTACTTAACACTTCACCTTTGCTGAGGCTAGCTTTGAACCTCCAATCCTCCTGCCTTAGCCTCTGAGCGGCTGGTATTATAGGCATGTGCCACCACACCCAGCTCTTACTAAGTTGCAGAGGCTAGCTTTGAACCTGTGATCCTCCTGCCTCAGCCTCCTAAACTGCTGGGATTATAGGTGTGTGCCACCACACCAGGCTCCAGCCCATTTTACTTTGAGACAGATTCTCACCGAATTGCCAGGGGTGGTCTCAAACTTGCAATCTTCTTGTCTCAGCCTCTCAAGTTCCTCAGATTACTGGTGTCCACCAACTGAGTTAACTTTTAATAAGATCCAGCTTTATTCAATACGGATCAGTTTTGCCAGTCCTTTCCCTATTGAATCATCTTATCAAAAATTGTTTTGCTATATATGCAAGAGTTTATTTCTGGATTCTTCTAGTATGTGGTTTACTTTTGTAATTCTTACCAGCCCTGAATAAAAGTATAGCATAAGAATTCTAAGTTCTTTGGCTCTACCTCTGAATCAAATAACAAATGTAACTGGTTCCCTTGACCTCCACTGCTACCTCTGAGTTCTGAGCTATTGTTAATCTTTTGCCTGTCCTACTACAGTAGACAACTGATCTGTCCATGTTGGGCAAGTTCACTCCAGTCCCTATCTGTGCAGTAGTAGCCAAAGGTCTTTGTAGAAAGCAAGTCAGATCAGGTCTGTGGCTACCCACCAACCTGAGAATTCCAACCAGGCCCCTGATCACTGGGTTTGAAATCTGATCTTCCTGCCTTAGCTTCCCAAGCCACTGGGATTACAGGTATGCACCACCCACATCCAGCCCCAGCACTGTCTTAAGACAAGTTCTGGCTAAATTGCCAGTGCTGGCTTCAAACTTGAAATCCTCCTGCCTCAGCCTCCCCAGTTGCTTCGTTTACAGGTGGGTGCCACTGTGTCTGGCTCATTTTAGACTCTTACTGCAGTGCTGGAGATGGAAAATAGGGCTTTGTGAATGCTGCGCAAATGTTCTAGCATTAAACTACTCCCCCAACCCAAGATTCATATTTGTTGATGTTTGTTCTTTCTTCTAAACTGCAATAGAAATTATTTGAAGGCAACTTATCAGTTTCAAGACTGCAGTCTTGGCTAGGCCTGAGGCCCTGTGTTACATATCAAACACACACACACACGCAAGAACATTCTGTGCAGAGATTATTTGTTTATGTAGAACTTGTTCAGTAGAGTAAGACAGACAAAATGCAAACAGTAGCAGTGCAGGAGGAGGACCTGAATATTCAGATAGAAAAGAACAAAAACCAGAATGTCTTTTGTGCACATAGCTCTGAAAAAGCAAGTGGCAGGGAGCATAGCTGTAGTGGGAGGAGTCCTTCATGGACTGGTGCATATGGGGGAGGGTTCCCTTAAGCTTTACTTGCATGTCCAGCCCCACCCCCCTCCAAGGTAGATGATACAATTTCGGGTATAAAATGCAGAATCCAGGGCTGGGGTTGTGGCTCAGCGGTAGAGCTACAGCGCTCGCCTACCATGTGTGAGGCCCTGGGTTCAATCTTCAGCACCACATAAAAATCAATAAAATAAAGGTGTCCAACTACAACTAAAAAGTAAGTATTAAAAAAAAAAATGCAGAATCCAAAATTCAGATGCCTTTTCCCTGTGTTTGAGAAAAACTCTTGTAGATCTTTAGCTGCTACCTTCTCTGACTTCATTAGCTGGAAATGTATGTCATTAATACAGCCACATTCAGGCTGGATTCTCCCTGCTTAGCTTAGTCACATCAAGGCTGTCCCGCTATGGTGGGGAAACCCTGACTTCTCTTCACTCCTCTGCTTTTGAGATCCTGTGAGCACATACCCCCCTCACCATTCACATGAGCACGGAAAACACACTTGAAAATTTTATTTATTAATGTATGCCTTTCTGAAATGATCACTTATTTTGTTTCAAAGAACAAATTGAAAGATATTTAACCCACTGCCCATAGCCAGGAAAGGATAGGAGAGAGTGCTGGACACATACCCAAAGTGGTCCTCAGCATTGCACTTGGAGACAGTTACACAGCCACAAGGTGCTAAACCACCTTATTTAGTAATAAACTTCTAAAAAAAAAAAAATTAGTGCTCTTGGTGGTTCATATGCATATATTTGACATGTCCACCCCAAGAATCATATATTGATGTTTAATGTTTGTCTTTCCCTTAAATTACAATAGAAGCTATTTGAAGAAAACTTATCAGCCTTAAAATAAAAAAAGACCCAGCCCTTTTGTATTTGTGTTTTTGACACCAATATTCCATGAACTTTTGCAAGGTTGTTTTCTATTCCTATATGCACTTCTTAAAAAAATCTCCAAGGGCCTCTTTGGGAGCCTTCCATGAAGTTTCCTAGTGCAGAGGAGCCAGTGAGCTCCTGCCTGCTTGTCACACCCCACCTGCATCTGCAGTGGAATTGAGCATGCTTGGATGTCAAAGGCTGCAATACAGAATCATAAAGCCTGGGATGTAGTAGTCTATTTCCCAATGACAAGGAGAGTAGATCATAGAAGTACAACTGTTTGACTTAACCAAGTGTCCACACTTGTCAGGGTTCTCACTCAAGTTATCCTGAGAACCCTATAACCCAGAGACTTATCCCTGGGGTAGGCATTAGTAAGTCTGGCCTCACTGCTCACAGGTACCTGCCACAATACTTGGCTTCCCATAATCTGTATAGAGAGGGTAATTGTCTTTCAGTGCATTGTGGTGGTAGATACCCTGATGCTGGTGAGAGGCAAGCAGGTTAGGGCTACAGATGTCCTGTTCTGTGTAACAGGTTGAGTGGAAACTCAAGGGTGTCCCTCCCATTAGATGGTTTGGGCTGGTCACAGTTCTTAGGGCTGTGTGACAGCTCCACTTGAAACAGACTTGAGGAAGCTGCACAGGCCAAGGAGAGGGATGCTTGTCACTCATTTTTTTCCTGCAGCAGAGGAAGGTGCCAGTCAGCAGGAGGGTTCTGCCTCAGGGCCCACACCAGGGTGTTCTTCTGTGCAGCCTGGACACGTGCCCGCTCACTCTCACAGAGGGATCGCTGTGCAAATAAGATTCTAGGTCACTTTCTGCCTCATGGCTGAGCTCCAGGGACTCAAAAACTGTCACATGGCCCTGGTACCACCCGCCTCCTCCAGCACCCTCCTAAACATTGATGGACAAATGGAAGAATAGAGTATGCAGTTTCATAGCTCAATGGCTTCCACCCAAGAAATCTTAAGGATGTTCCATATTAGGACACATATCTAGACCATTCTTTCTCATAAATTACTGTGGAAAACTGTGTAGATCATTCTGATTTAAGGGCTTTTATAGCTTGCTTAACTTTTTAATTTTTTTTGCAGTACTAGGGATTGAACCCAGGGCCTGGCACATGCTAGGCAAGGACTCTACAACCGAGGTACATCTCTAGCCCTTTTTGGTTTTGGGGAGCAAGTTCTTGCTAAGTTTCTTGAGGCTCACCTTAAACTTATGATCCTTCTGCCTCAGCCTCCCAAGTGGCTGGAATTATAGGCATGTATCACCATGTCTGGCAATTGAGGAATTTTAAGATGTCTTGTCCTGGGCCTCAGGATCAGATGGCTTTAGCTGGCCTGGTAAGTCTGGGACAACTACTTCACTTGTTAAGTCTGAGGGTGGAGGCTCTAGGTGGGAATAACCATCTACAGGAGCCACTGTGGGGAGGAAATATAGGCCAGACCACTAAGTGAGGCTGTGTATAACAGGTACCTCAACCCACCAGATTCTCTCAGCCACTAACCCCAAGACAGACAAAGGGCAGCATATTACAAAGTTGAGTGGGCTCTTGTGCTATGCAGGCCTCTTTACACATATAATTTAATCTATTTATCTGTCTTTATTCAAGCTTTTTTGTCTCAAAATATTTTTTTAATGCTAGGGATTGAACCCAGTGCTAGGCAAGTGTCCTTTACCACTGGGCTATACCCCCAATTCCTCAAATAAAACATTTTTATTTTATTGTTTAAAAAACAATCAGAAGGGGTCTGGGGATATAGCTCAGTTGGAAGAGTGCTTCCCTCACATGTGGGTTCAATCCCCAGCAACACACACACACACACACACACACACACACACAGAGCAATCAGAAGGGGCTGGGAATGTAGTTCAGTGGTAGAGTGCTTGCCCAGCATGCCTTAGGCCCTGGGGTCAATCCCTAGTACTGTAAGGGTGGGGGGTGGTGAGGGGTGTATCAGAAATGCACAGAATATGAAAGACCCCAAATCTCTATCCTTACTGTAGCAGTTAACAGCCTCCCCAAAACCTTCTTAATCCCAAGTTTTAAGGCTATTGTTTGTTTCTCTTAAAATAGAATAATCTGCTATCTAATCTACTTCTTACTTTTTTCACTAAACAAAATCTTGTATACTGTAGGCATGCCCAGGTATTGCTATCTATCCTTTTTTTGTTTTTTTTGGTACTGGGATTGAACTCGGGGGCACTCGACCACTAAGCCACATCCCCAGTCCTATTTTGTATTTTATTTAGAGACAGGGTATCACTGAGTTGCTTAGGGCCTCACCATTGCTGAGGCTAGCTTTGAACTCATGATCCTCCTGCCTCAGCCTCCTGAGCCACTGGGATATTACAGGCGTGCACCACCGACCTGGCTGCTATCTATTCTTTATAACTGCTGTGCAGTTCTCCCCATGTGGAAAAAGTTATCTGATCAAGTGTCTATTAATGAAACTTATTTTTATTTTCTGTATTATCATAAACACTGATACAGTGAACATTTTTAAGTTTTAACTGAGCACTACTGTTTAATTACATCCCTAGGATAAGCTTCTAAAAGTAACAATAAAGGTTCAAAAGGTGTGCATTTGATGCTTAAACAATCAGAAAACTAGACACTCCCAACAAAACTGCATGAGTGCCCCCAGACTCTAAAAACTCTTATAAACACTTTCCACTGGACTAACAAATCTGCCATTTTTACTTCAGTCTGGCCATTTGCTTGTCTTCTTTCTTTTTTCTTTTTTTGTGGTAGTGGTGATTAAACCCTTAAACCCAGTGGCACTCAATCACTGAGCTACCCTCCCCAGTCCTTTTTATTTTTTGAGAGAGGGTCTCATTGATTGTGGAGGCCAGCCTTAAACTTGTAATCCTACTGCCTCAGCCTCCTAAATCCCTAGGATTTCAGGTCTATACCACCACACTTGGCTTGGTTTTCTTTCTTTCTTTCTGTACTAGGGATAGAACACACAGTGAACACAGTGGCTCAGGAGGCTGAGACAGGAGGATCATGAGTTCAAAGCTAGCCTCAACAATGGTGAGGCCCTAAGCAACTCAAAATAAAATACAAAATAGGGCTGGGGATGTGGCTTAGTGGTCGAGTGCCCCTGAGTTCAATCCCCAGTACCATTTGAGCTATATCCCCAGTCCTTTTTATTTTTTGAGACATGGTCTCACTAAGTTGCTAAGGGCCTAGCTAAGTTGCTAAAGCTGGCCTTGAACTTGCAATCTTCCTGTCTTAGCCTCCAGAGTCACTGGGATTACAGGTGTTTGCCATGATGCCTAGCTTGGTTTTCTTTTTCAATAATTGCTTCTTTGTACCTTTGGTCCATTTTTCTGTTCTGCAATCATCTCTGTTTTCATATTGACATGTGTAAGAGCTTATGTAGATAACATACAAATTACAAGCTTTCTCCCATGTTTTTGACTTTCACTTATTGTGCACTTGTCATCATTTTATTATAACAGCTTGGTTTCCACATCAGTTTGTTTCAGAGTATTCACATATATTTAACAACACTGAAGCTCCTGGCTGGTGGTGTTGGCTCCCTTCTATGTTCCCTGGCACTCCCCCTGGATCCCAAAGAGCCTTCAACATGATAACTGTCTGCCCAACAGACACCTAGAACCACTTCTTTACTATCTCCCTGGTCCTCTAAGATATATACTCTCTGCACCTCCGCAGCCAGACTGATCTTTTAAAAATTATACAATATTATGCTTCTCTTTTAAACTGGACACTAGACTCTGAAGTCTTTTTCAAGGCCCCTCAGGTCCCTGGTACTCAACCACATCACCAGTCCTCTACAGCCCACCCTCTCCTCAGGGCACCTGGGTCTACTTTCTTTTCCTAAGTCGTGCCCTTGGGGTTAAGTGAAGGCTCTGAAATCAGGAACAGCAGTATCACAAGCTCTACCGGTCTGCTGTAGACTGGAAGGTCGGCCCTCCTCTCTCCAAACTACACTTCTGTTTCCCTTTTTATTCTTAATGCCCTCCCAAAATCACATGACACTAATTTGGGATATTTTTCAAAATAAGTGAGGGGAGGGACTCCAGTAATCGCCTGCAAAATGCCCAGGGCCTGGGGGCTCCACACCGCACTCCACCCAGACCTCTCCCGGCGCACCTGGGCCTCGGTGCTATGGCGTTCCTCCCAGTCGCGACAACTGGTCAGGTCGCGCAGCCACTGGTCGCAGGTCGGGAGCTCCCCGTGGACATAGTAGTGATGCAGGAAGTTCCGGGCGCTGCGACAGAGCTTCCACTCAGCTTGGTAGGCCTCACAGGGTCGCGGAGGCTGAGGCAAGAGATGGCGTCTGAGCCGGGCTCTGCGTCCACGCTCCACGTCCCTGATCCCGTCCAGTCCTCGCCCTACTAATCTACTTTCCTAGTCGGACCAGACCCCCGCGGACCCTTATTGCCCACCACATTTACCATCCAGTTGTTGCCTTCGGCCATGTTGAATCTACTGCCAAGCCACAGCGCATCCGCCCACCACCCAATGAAAACTGAGGAGAACACAATATACGTAACTGACACATTGAAGAACCAATGAACTCCAAGATAGTGCAACTCTTACCAAATACTTCCTGAGAAGTGCCAATAAACAGGATGTTTGAGTTCAATAGCCAATAACAGCCAGAGGCGGTGACACGAAGAAAGGCAGGGCGGGAAATGTGTTCCAAGAGACCCGCAGTGACCAAGGCAGACTGGTGTAGTCAGCTAGTGTCTGACTGGCGTCCTGGGCTACACAGCCATGTGCTTGGCTGTAGCGGATATCCCAATTATTTACATCATTCTTACTTTTTTAAATCTCGAAGATCTAGTTCATTTTTGAAAGCACGTTCTGTAAGCATCAACTTGCAAATGTTGCAGGGCTGCAGTGACCAGAGGTGAAGATGTAGTCACAAAATAACAAGAGTTGGTTGGATCTGAGATATGTGCTGGTGGTCCTTGGGTGCAAGATGACTTCCCCAAGGAACCCAAGCTGGAAGAGGAGGCTGCGAGATGGGCATTCCCGGCAGAGAGAGGCAATAGAGGCAAAAGTACAGCTGGTGGGTCTGCACAAATGCCTTGTAATGCCTATGTAATGGCTCTCTGAATGAAATTCAATCATCTGCTGAGGAGCCCCTTACAATGCAGTTGCTGAGCTCATTCCAGGGATAACAGCGGGTCTGAAAGTATGTGAGAAAGCTAGTTTTCCCAGGGGTCTTGTTGAGATGGCTGGCTCCAAGTTAGGAGAAGACACTGCCTGTGAAGAGCTGTGGGCCACATACCATAGCAGTAAGCACCAGGCCCAGTGCTCCAGGTGACATGAGTTAATTGGCCTGGGGATGTAGCTGGTGGGAGAGCACTTGCCTAGCATGCTGAAGGCCCCAGGTTCAGTCCCTAGAATCACTTTAAACAAACAAACAGAAATGCCCAAACAGCTACCAGAAGGCCTTTGGTACAGACAGGGAAGTGTGTCTCCAGTAAAGAAGTAGGAGTTTAATTGCATAAAGCCAAGTATTGCTTAAGGAATATAAAAACCTAGGGCCAGGACTTACACTGATATTCATTATGCACAAAATGACAATTTGTTAGCTATCAAAATTCTGCAAATGGAGGCTGCCTACTTGCTAAGGAGAGCTTTTACCTCTGATGTGAAACTGAGACCACCTAAGTGGAGGATCTGGTAGGTCACCATCCATTGCCAGTGATGATGGTTTGTGCTACAGGATCAAGCCCAGAATATGGTACTCATCCATGCTCTGGGTGCATGGACTCTGGTGTTGCCTACCTTGGAAAGGGCAACCTCTCCTGAGTGTTGAAGAGAAACCCTGTCCAGAGTGTGATCATTTTATCTATAAAAGGGTAAATTCTGGTATATGGGGGATCTTACATGGGCCTGATCAGCTCTACTCCAGTTGTCAGGAAGCCTTGTTTGTCCCTACTTCCTCCAGAAGGTGGCCCAAAGGAGCACTTTACTGGTTAGTGGCCCGACCACCAATCCGTGTTAGTACTTAATCAAACATTTAGAGGCAATCCACATTTCAATCATTGCTATTTTTATTTGAAAATTCTCAATTTAGAATTATTCTCAAGAACTAAATTTAAAATAATTGGATTAGCAGGTCAAAAGATCTCACATTACAAAAAATGACAATTTGAGACCAAATTAAAACATATAAAAAATGGGCATTGGAGGGTGCAGCTCAGTGGTAAAATACGTGCTTAGTATTCCTGAAACCCTGGGTTCAATTCTAGCCCAAACAAAACAAAACAAACAAAAAGACTGGCCACTAGAACCTTGGATAATTTAATAAATTAAAATTGCAAACTGTAAGGGTAGGGAAGGAGGAGAAAGAGGAACATATCTTTAGCATTTATTTATTCTAACAGTCATATTTGGTTTCATCATGGAGTTGTTTTATTATAGAATAGGTCAACTAAGGAACCAGTTATTTCCACAAGAAATTATCGTATAGGTTTCCTTCATAGGTGTGGTACTTTTGAAAAAACTCAATATGTAAAACAAAAATAAAAACACCCTTTCTCAAATACTTAAATTGCAGCCATAGGAGTGGGAGAGCCACTATTTACAGAGCACATATCTATTTAAACCATGTTTTTCTAAGCCAGATACAATGCCTATGCAACAGACCTGGGAAAAGTAAAAATGAAGAGAAAGAACACCTTAAGTTAGAGCAATTCAATTCCTCCACTGGTTTTGTAAGAAATGAGGAAATTCTGTTGTGCTGAGGCAGAGTGGGAGAGCCCTTGAGCTGCAAGCATGAAGTAGTGAGGAGGTGGCTGACTATGGAAGAGATAGCTCTTACTCTTTCCCAATATCAAGCACACAATCACAAAGTCCTACTGCTCCACATCCAAGTCAAATTTGATAATTCTTAGGTAATGCTAAACAAACCTTAAGTAACAGCATTCTCTGATGATAGTCTCATCCTTGTCAGAGCCAGTAACTAAAAGCCAATATGTTGCAATTGATTCTTTTATTTTCCAGTCAACAGTCCCAACTTATGGTTTTCTTCCCTTTTTACGCAAGGACTGTCCTTCTCCAGAGAAAGCAACAAATCTGCCTCCAGCTTCATCCTAGATGTGAAGATAAGACTGTTTTCAGAAACTCCCTGGAGGTTTACAATGAATGCCTTATTCTGTGTACACATCAGTACCATTTTTCTTCCACATTATTTGTAACCAGAAAACTCTAAAATATAAATACAAAACCACAGAATCACAACTGTAAGTTGAATTTACAAAAGGTTTTCAGGTTGAATATACAAAAGTTCCTCATCTATAAGTTGAAAAATATCATATTAAGTTAAAAAATATATTTAATACACCTAACCAACTGAGCACAGTGGCACATGCCTATAATCTCAGAGACTCAGGAAGCTGAGGCAGGATTCCAAGTTTGAGTCCAGCCTCAGCAACTTAGTAAGATCCTGTCTCAAAAAATAAAAAGGGATGGTGATGTGGCCTCTGAATTCAATCCCCAGTACTACAAAACAAAAACAAACAAAAAAACACCTAACCAACCAAATATTCTAATTTAGTAACACATCACACTGTGGAATATTGGTTGTTTCCCCTCATAATCATTTTGCTGACAGGGAGTTGTGACTCAGACCTATTGTCTAGCACCAGAGAGGATCATACTGCTTAGCACTAGCCCAGGAAAAGATCAAAATTCAAAATTCCATGCATTGCTTTCACATCTTTGTAAAGTTGAAAAATCCTAAGTAGAACTATAATACATTAGAGACCATTTGGATATCTTTTTATGGAATAATCACTCATAACTTCATCACCTAAAAAGAACATTTCCTGTTATTTTTCTGTATATATAAACTTTTCTCAATTCTGAAGTTTCAAGCCGATGAGTTTCTTATCTAGCAAATTCCAAATACTACAGAGAACTCCATCAAGGAGAGCCAGTCTTCTTCCACTGGATATTTCTGTTATTTCCAAGATTGTAGTATTATAAATTGCAGTGCTAAGCAACTTCATGTTCCAAACACCTGACTTGTCCCAGAATTCATGGATATAAGGGTTCATATACTTTCTTTTCTTTATGGTATAAGGGATGAAACCCAGAGTTTCATGCATACCAGGCAAATTTTTTACCCCTGAGCATCATCCCCACCCCTTTTAAAAATGTCTCCCAGGGCTAGGGATCTAGCTCAGCTGGTAAAATGCTTGCCTCACATGCACAAGGCCCTGTATTCAATTTCCAGCACCAAGAAAAATAAATGTGTCTCCATAGTTGCCCAGTTTGGCCTCAAATTTATATTTTTCCACGTGCTTTTATTCCTAGTTAGTCTGAGATATTGTCCCCTGACTTTCCTCTATGGAAGAAGAGGATTTCTAACACATAACCTCATACCTAGTACCCCCAATTACTACAAAATATTGTACCTATGGTGGGGCAATTCAATATTTGTGATGACAGTCTTATAAAGGTGAGTCACAGCTGAGCCATATAGTCTTCCTTTCCTGAATAGCCTTTTATCTGTCTTGGTATGAATAACTATCTGGTTTTTCTCTTCCACCCATTGGATAATAGCAGGTATGCACTGATTTCTTCTACTTGAGGAAGGTATGTCTCTTGGGCCTTTAGCCTGCCCTTCCTGGACTGGCTATTGTCCAGGTGCTATCAATGATGATGGGGACTCCCTAGTTCCAGGAGAATCTAGCTTTCTTATTTTTTGTCTCATTCCTTCATTTTAGTGAGGTACATTCTTCAGTAGCTTTCTGAAAAAGGGTGTATAAGCACGCTTTTTTTTTTTTTTTTTTTTGAGATCCTATGTGTCCAGAAATAAATTTTTTCTACTCTCATGTTTCATTGATAATTGTGTTAGTCTGCCTCTTAAAATGCCCTATCTCCAAATACAACCACATTCTAGGGCTTCCAGAGAGAAATTTGAGGGGGACAAAATTCAGCCCATATAAGTACAGATTTTTAGGTTGAAAATTATTTCCCCACAGAATTTTAAAGATACTGTTGCACTGTCTTGTAGCTTCCTACATGTGTCCTAACAAGATGATGTCCTTGTTTCCCAATGGCACCTATCTTCTCTCTAGAAGATCTTCAATGTGATCCCTAGAATATCTTCAATGTGGAGCTATCTTCATTCATTGTTGGGTCCTTCATTTGGAGATATTATTTCCCTGATAGTTTTTGCTCCTTTGGTTTTTCTGGTCTTTTTTTTTTTCACAATTCAACTCTTTCCATTCTTTCTTTACCCCTCTTTCTTTTTTTTTTTTAATATTTATTTTTTAGGTGTAGATGGACACAACACAATGCCTTTATTTTTATGTGGTGCTGAGGATCGAACCTGGGTCCCGCCCGTGCTAGGCAAGCGCTCTACCGCTGAGCCACAATCCCAGCCCCCTCTTTCTGTCTTTGTAATAGGGTCTCACTATGTTATCTAGGCTGATCTTGAACTCCTGGGCTCAAGTGATTCTCCCATCTCAGTCTTAGGATTACAAGTGTATATGGCATTGCACCCAGCTTCTTTTCACAATTCTTAATACTTGTGTGGTAGAACTAGAAACTTTTTCTTTTTTGTAGTGCTGGATACTGAACCCAGGACCTCATAAATGCTAGACAAGCATTCTATCACAAAGCCATGCTCCCATCCCGGAACTGAAAGCTTTCTGACTGTGGTTTTCAGTCTGGGATAAGCTGGGTAGGACAGACATTCCTTGGGGAAACACTACTGTTTGTCATTATCTTTAGGTCTTTTTTCTTGGGCTCATCAGTCTGTACAGAGAAAGCTCCAACCTCCAACTATAATGAGTAACTCTGTCTGCCAGTATACTGGGGACCAAGTAGTGGAAGAACATAAAGGGCATTAACATTCAGGGTACAAACTGTCTCTCCTTCTCACTCTTCATTTGGTCTTGCTATCCACTATGGCTGACTGCCCTAGTCTAGAGACCTTTTGATACCTTCTTCCGGGAGTACCGGGAGGGAGACTGCTACAGT